TGTTGTTCAAAACATTTCCAGCATGCCTAATCATTCAAATTTGATAGTCACAAGAAAATCAGCCAATGCTGCTGCCCACTGATGGTGCAAAATTCGAGAGAAAATTCTTAGTTACGATTTTCAAAAGAAAATTTGTTCGGAATTGAACCCATGCATGGCCTGCATATAATCCTCAAAGTGAGAAGTCATATAGTTGGGATTTACCAAAACTGGTGCAGCTGTGCATAGTAACTAATCAGCTTCTAGCTTCAGCTTGTTCAGTTAAGTTTTGACAATAAAACCTGGAAGCTGACTGGTTTCTCTATACACTACATCAGCGGTTCTCAACCTGGGGGTCGCGAACCCCTTTGGGGGTCGAACGACACTTTCCCAGGGGTCGCCTAAGACCATCGGAAAACACATATTTCCGATGGCCTTAGGAACCGAGACACCGCTCCTTGATCCGTCTGCAGGTGTGGGCGGGATGACATGCCGTCCCTGTCATCTGGACACACCCCCGGGATCAATCCTTCCTCGTCGGTGATTGGCCGCCGGAACTGTAGCTCAAGAGAGGCACACAGGCGGCCAATCACCGGCGAGGAGGTGGAGCTTGGAAAGGAGGAGCCGAGCGGCACCGCGAAGCACGAGCGAGTGAAGAGGAGGAAAGCGGCCGGAGAAGGAAGCCATCTGACCGGTAAGTGTTTGTACCATGGGAGAGGGAGGGAGCTAGTGAGCCCAGGCTGGAGCAGGGGTCAGCAAGGTAAGTATCATTGGTGTCAGTGGGAGGAATAGTGCCCAATCATTGGTGTCACTATTACCAATGATGGGGCACTATTCCTCCCCCCACTGACACCAACGATGGGGCACTATTCCTCCCACTGACACCAACGATGGGGCACTATTCCTCCCACTGACACCAACGATGGGGCACTATTCCTCCCACTGACACCAAAGATGGGGCACTATTCCTCCCACTGACACCAAAGATGGGGCACTATTCCTCCCACTGACACCAGCGATGGGGCACTATTCCTCCCCCCACTGACACCAACGATGGGGCACTATTCCTCCCACTGACACCAATGTTGGGGCACTATTCCTCCCCTGATACCAATGATGGGGCACTATTCCTCCACTGACACCAATGATGGGGCACTATTCCTCCCACTGACACCAGCGATGGGGCACTATTCCCCCCACTGACACCATGATGGGGCACTATTCCTCCCACTGACACCAATGATGGGGCACTATTCCTCCCCTGATACCAATGATGGGGCACTATTCCTCCTACTGACACCAATGATGGGGCACTTTTCCTCCCACTGACACCAATGATGGGGCACTATTCCCCCCACTGACACCATAATGGGGCCTATTCTCTCCCACTGACACCCAATGCCCTTGGGGCACTAAATTCCCCCACTGACACCAATGATGGGGCACTATTCCCCCCATTGACACCAATGATGGGGCACTTATTCCCCCCACTGACACCAATGATGGGGCACTATTCCTCCCACTGACACCAATGATGGGGCACTATTCCCCCCACTGACACCAATGATGGGGCACTATTCCCCCCACTGACACCAATGATGGGGCACTTTTCCCCCCACTGACACCAATGATGGGGCACTATTCCCCCCACTGACACCAATGATGGGGCACTATTCCCCCCACTGACACCAATGATGGGGCACTATTCCCCCCACTGACACCAATGATGGGGCACTATTCCCCCACTGACACCAATGATGGGGCACTATTCCCCCCACTGACACCAATGATGGGGCACTATTCCTCCCACTGACACCAACGATGGGGCACTATTCCTCCCCCCACTGACACCAACGATGGGGCACTATTCCTCCCCCCACTGACACCAACGATGGGGCACTATTCCTCCCCCCACTGACACCAACGATGGGGCACTATTCCTCCCCCCACTGACACCAACGATGGGGCACTATTCCTCCCCCCACTGACACCAACGATGGGGCACTATTCCTCCCCCCACTGACACCAACGATGGGGCACTATTCCTCCCCCCACTGACACCAACGATGGGGCACTATTCCTCCCCCCACTGACACCAACGATGGGGCACTATTCCTCCCCCCACTGACACCAACGATGGGGCACTATTCCTCCCCCCACTGACACCAATGATGGGGCACTATTCCTCCCACTGACACCAATGATGGGGCACTATTCCTACCACTGATACCAATGATGGGGCACTATTCCTCCCATTGACATCAGTGATGGGGCACTATTCCTCACACTGACACCAATGATGAGGCACTATTCCTCCCACTGACACCAATGACGTGGCACTATTCCTCCCACTGACACCAATGACGTGGCACTATTCCTCCCACTGACACCAATGATGGGGCACTATTCCTCCCATTGACATCAGTGATGGGACACTATTCCTCCCACTGACACCAATGACGTGGCACTACTCCTCCCACTGCAAAATTACAGTTATGAAGTAGCAACGAAAATAATTTTATGGTTGGGGGTCACCCCAACATGAGGAACTGTATTAAGGGGTCGCGGCATTAGAAAGGTTGAGAACCACTGCACTACATGAAGATTATTTCATTTACAATTCATGGAGGTGTTCCTTTGTTTACATGAACATTTTACTATAGACACATATACTGTACTAATATTCATTTTGTTTTATGAGTGCTGCTCTTGGGTTTATTTGATATTATCATTCTGTATCCAATAGTGTGCTAGTTGCTGGTTTAGGAATTTTTTATTTTAAAGTGCCAGGTATAATAATTAAAAATCATTGTGGCAAATAGGAGCATCCATGGTTAATTACAAATACAGGTATGTGCACTGAAAATAGTAATGGATTTTTTATTATTCTTATTATTATTTGGATTTAATTACACTTTTTAAATTCAAAACATATGTTTTTCTTATTGTGATACTTATGGTAGTAACTGCCTAAGGCCCTGTTCACATCTGGGCATTCTAGAATCACCTTCAGAATTGCGTGATTCTGCCCTTGACTCTGGAACTCTGTAAAATTGCAGAAAAACAAGCAACACGTAATTGTGTGCCATTATTGTTAATGACACTGCAAACTCGTAAAAGAAACGGGCCGTTTGTTGCATAACAAAATACGCACAAAACAAAAAATACTTAAATCTGCCCTTTCCACAAACTCGCCAAAGTTGGCTCCAAAAAAGATACAGGAGCTCCTTTGGAGTGTTTTTGGAGCAGAAGAGAGCAGCCCATTCAAATGGTGCCGCTCCAAAAATGCAACAGAGAATTTACACATTTAAAAACAAATCACAAACTGCAATGCTCTGCTGACGCTAGTTGTGAATGGGGCCTAAGAGAGCATTTCCTTCCCCTTGGAGAGGCTTCCTATCACAGCATCTTGTATCTGTAGGACAGAAAGTGAAGGGAAAGCCTCCAATGGGAAGCAGATGGTAAAAAAACAAAACAAAGCAAAACAAAAAACCTGAGAGGGGTTTTAATCATTCCCTACTGTATCTAAAATTAAAAAGAAAAGTTTGGGGTTTAAAAGTAATTTATAAGTTATCTTGTGCTTTAGCTTTATTAAAGTATTGATAGTGTCTATGGATTTATGTATGAATATTCTAGAAAGATTTTAGCTCTTTTTCTATTCTGGAAAAGTTGTAATTGTGGGAATAGATATAGTATGTTCTTTCACTCACTTCCTGTCAATTAAAACTAGCCTGTGATGGCCAGCAAAAAGTATGCTATACTACACGTCACAGGAAAAATGAAAAAAAAATGGTGTTGATTTACTACAACTGGAGAGTGCAAAATCTGGTGCAACTATGCATAGGAACCAATCAGCTTCCAGGTTTTATTGCCAAAGCGTAAAGTGATACTAAAGGCTTACAAAAAAAAAAAAAATAACAATATGTCTATACTTGCCTGCTCTGTGTAATGGTTTTGCACAGAGCAGCCCGGATCCTCCTCTTCTCGGGTCCCCCATCAGTGCTCCTGACCCCTCCCTCCTGTCAGGTGTCCCCACAGCAAGCAACTTGCTACGGGGGCACCCGAGCATGCACAGTCCCCAGCTGCTGCTCAGTGTGTCTATTCACACATGGAGCCGTGACTCGGCCCCGCCCCTTTCTCTCCTCATAGGATCACTGGCTGTGATTGACAGCAACGAGAGCCAATGGATCCTGCTGCTGTCTCAGCCAATGAGAGGGAGTCCCAGGATAGCCAAGACTGCAAGTGAATATCGGGATTGAGAGGGGGCTTAGGTGAGTAATAGGGGGGCTGTGGGGGATGCTGCACAGAGAAGGTTTTTCACCTTCATGCATAGAATGCTTGAAGGTAGAAAATGTTATAGCCTTTACAACCACTTTAATTGAACAAACTGAAGTTAGAAGCTGACTGGCTACCAGGTACAGCTGCACCAGATCTTGCACTCTCCAGTTTTAGTAAACAACCCCAGTGTGATTTTAAAAGCTTTTCTTTTAAAGTATTACTAATGGCAAACATTTTTCTCATTTTAGACAGAATAAGGGAGAGTTAAAACCAATATCAGTTTTTGTTTTTTTTTTTGTTTGCCAACTGTGCCCCATTGGAGAGCTTTCCATTCACTTCCTGTCTCATAGCCAAAACAGGAAGTGAGAGGAAATCCCTCCAAAGTGATGGAATCCATGGTTGTCCACAGGGTCACCAGAACTAGTGTCCCCACTGGAAGATTTCCCCTCTGTTCCTGTTTTGGTGATAACCCAATATTTGGGAATTTTTTTTTGCTTTCAGTGATGGCAGTAAACATGACAACTAGAGAGGAGGAATCTCCCTTACAGGGGCACAGACAGCAATAAAGACCTGACAAGTGCTCTGATACCTCTCTATCCAAAACTAAAAGCAAAAGTTTTGTCTTTAATTATACTTTGAGTTATTGATTGGTAGAATAATGAAAATGTAATTTAGATTTTAAATGAACAGTTTGTTGTAGAATGCTGACATAGTGAAAAGTGTATTGTTTTTCTCTCTCCTAGGTTGAAATGACATGGGACAGTTTTAACAAAGGGGATGTCTTCCTTCTTGACCTGGGAAAAGTTATCATCCAATGGAACGGGCCTGAGAGCAACAAGGCGGAGAGGATACGGGTCAGTCAAAACACTATGGATTCAAATTGTTTTGGAATGACATTTTAGAAGCGTCTGTTTCTTAACTAATAACAATATACTAAAGAAAGATTAGTTCCAGTATTTTTATTTTTGTTAAAATAGATGTAAACCCTAACTGAATGACATTTATTTTTCAAAAGCCCTGGGTATCATAAACAATTGCCCTTTTCAAAATAAAATGCTTGTTTTCACTATTTTCTATCCTTTGTTGCACCTCAGTGCTGCTGATCTAATGCAGCCACTTCTTGTCTATATGTACAAACTTTAGTGATGGCTGCATGACATTTTCTTCTGGGCATGTTATCTGATGTTGACAATAGTGGATCATGACTGCATTGCGTGGCTAAAATGGCCACTTGTAGCCCCCATTGGAAGACCATGTGACAACGCGGTGGGGGAGAGTGCATGTGGTCGGCACAGGGCCAATCAGCACTGTCCAGTCAGAGGATCAGAGGTCATGCAGCCTCATAGGACAGTCAGAGGAGAATGAAAACGCCTCCTACAAGCTTTAACCAGTGCTCGGTCAGTGAATGCAGGGCCCTGAGTTTAGCAACACTTTAAAGAACGCTGCAAATTTAAAATCATTGACAATGACAATGAAAACTCATTATATGTTAACGCATATGATATGTTTAGTGTTTGGGTTTTACATATATTTTTAGTGAAATAACATATTTTAGGCAGACAATGGTAAATTAAAGTATCATTTATTGAAAATGAAAGGAGAATTCCAGGCATTGCTGTAAAATACATAGCTACATTGGTCCAGCTTGGACCAATGCAACTACAGTGTGTATATACCATACCTGGCCAATGCCCCTGGAAGCTGGAGACACCACTACTCCAGTGATCTCCACTTGCATCCAGGTTCTGTGCTGAGTGGCCAGCCTGATGCATTGTGATCACAGAAAGTTGGCTGCTCTGTACGGGCACCATTCAGAGAACACTTTGCATTCATTTAGAGAACGCTTTGCATTTATTTAGAGAATGCAAAGCCTTCTCAAAATTCAGTAAGTAGGAGTTCAGTTGCTCACTCCGGCACTTGGAAGCAAGTGGAGATTACTGGGGTTGTTTTACCAAAACTGGAGTGTGAAAAATCTGGTGCAGCTCTGCATGGTAGCCAATCAGCTTCTAACTTCAGCTTGTTCAATTAAGCTTTACCCAAAAAAATTAAAAACGGATTGGTTTCTATACAGAGCTGCACCAGATTTTGCACTCTCCAGTTTTAGTAAATCACCCCTATAGTTACTCTGGTCCAAGATGGACCGATGTAACTTTGTATAGTATAGCCATGCTTGGAATTCTTCGTTTTAGGAAGTATCTAATTTCTAGGAAATATAGGGTATGAGCTATACCTTACACGCCTGTTTTTTTTAGCAGTTTGTAAAATGAAAAGATTGCTTTGTGATTGTACAGGTCAGACCATTTCAATAAATGTTACTACAGCTACTGCTAATACTACTAAAATTATGATTGCTAATACTGCTAATATTACAGCTTCTCCTTCTGTCACTACAATTACTTGTTCTAGTACTACGACTACTATGTCTACTCCCAGTATCACTATTGTGCCTGAAATCTATTACCTTCCTACTGCTATTTTGTTCTACATAATTTGTGAATTTTGCTAAATCAAATATTCACAATGTAATAATGTTAATTCTCTTTTTTTTTCTAGGCCTGCTCCTTGGCACAGAGTATCAGAGATGATGAGAGGGGAGGAAGAGCACAGATTGGGATTATAGACAATGAGCAGGATTCCCCTGACCTGATGCAGATTATGACGGCTGTACTGGGGTCCAGACATGGTGGATTGAAAGACGCCATTCCAGATGAGAAGCCAGATGAGCAACAGAAATCAAACGTCAGACTCTACCAGTAAGTCACAAGCACTGGCTATATATACCAATATGAGTCTGAGAGAGAGAAGCAGAAATCAGATGGTTATGGCATCCCAAAATCAGTTATTCTAAACCCTCAAATCAGCTTTTAGGTCAACATACTATAAATCTACTTTAGTGGCATCTGTGAGCTAAATAAAGTAAACGAAGGCTTAGTCTGTGCAACATTTTTAGAGAGATTGCATTGCAGGACAGGGAAACTTACTGAATATTCAATTTATTATACAAAACACACAGCTATTGCCGTAGATAACATAATGCCTGATTTACATAAATATAACTTGGCATAAGTATGATTTCATGTATTTCTTTTGCTATCTGTAACTTGTGACATACAGTATTTTGTCTAATAGTACATGTATAAGGCTTGCTAAAATAACTGAGAAAATCACTCATCATAATATCTATCATTACACATTAGAAGCTAATAAAATGAATGGGTGAGCACGCTGTGGTCTGATGAATGTGGCGGTTGATGTTGAAAACATGGCTGCATCCCCTAGCCTTAATGCCGGCCATAGACAGGTTGAAAATCGGCCAAATCGGAAAAAAAAAAATTGACCGATTTTCACACCGTTAGTGGGTTAATTGGTCGGCCGTTTTTTCAGAGTTTTTGCACATTTTTTTTATCGGGCACGTTGGAAAATTCGCGGCCAATTTTGACGATTGGCCGATTTACCCGACAATGATTGGCAAATCGGCCGATCGTTTTACCGATGAAAAATCTGCACATGAGCCATGACCTGCAAGAAGTAGAAGAAGAAAAGGAATAAGAAGAAGAAGAAGAAGAAGAAGAATTCCAGTCCGCTATTATATTTTATATGAAAATGTCTTGTGGTTGCAACAAATGTATCCATTTGTATCCAAATAAAAACATCTGTATCCAAATAAAAGCATTGTAATACATTATTTGGATTACAATGTTTTTATTTGGATACAGATGTTTTTATTTAGATTCAAATGGATACATTTGTTGTAACCGCAAGACTTTTTCATATAAAATATAACAGCGGACTGGAATTCTTGTTATTCTTCTTATTATTATTATGTATTGCTGTCACATTGTATGGTGTGCTCCCCTGTCTCTGCAAGGGACAGAAGTTATGTGGTTAATGCCAGCCATAGACGGGACGAAAATCGGCCGATTTTTTTAATGTTGGTGGTAACGTCGGCCTATCGAACGACCCGATTTTTCATTTTTTTTTTTTTTTAAATCAGCCGATGTTCAACCCGTCTATGGCCTGCTTAACAGACATAGCCCTATTGTTTATTGTACTTCTGTGGACATATACAAGCAGATAATTAGATCTATTTTAATATTTATATAACTGATTCCCTCTTATTTCACTTAATTTAGTCTTTTTATATCAATAAGTGAGTCCCCATCTGGTACCGAAATTGTCCTGCTTGAACGATTAGCCTTACAGCTTTGCTTGTTTGACAATAATGTTGCACATCTATGCCTTCACATGCTGACATATCCAATTCATACAAGCTCTATAGATGGAATCAAGACTTTACCTGGATTTAATTACCCACTGAACCACTAAAGAATAACAATTTGGGTCCTCCCACCCAAAAAAAATAAACAATAATAATAATTAAAATGAAAAAAATATATATATATATCTATATATATATTCATTACCAAAATACTGGTAATGCTAAAATTATTTCTTTTTACAGTGTTTTTGAAAAAGACGGGGATTTGGTAGTACAAGAAACTGCAACAAAACCTCTTACCCAGGATCTGCTGCAGCACCAGGTAAGTTAATTATATAGAAGTGAGATTGTGTGGTCATATGGACCCATTTTAGCAGCTCTGTTAACATGCTTCAGGCTCTTGCAACACAGTGTCTTTTGTAACATGATTGCCATCAATCACAGTCTCCTGTAACATGACAATGGTTGCTCACAGACTCTAGTAATGTTCATGTTGTCTCTGACAATCCCTGGTAACATATTAGCAGTCAATCACAGTCTCCTAGTCTAGATGTTTGTTGTAACGTGTCAGAGATGACCCCATCACCAGTACCTATATACAAATAAGTAAACATCTACAGGAAATCAGTAAATATAAGCATTAACCATAATTATACCCATTATGGCACCACCATGTGACCTTTGTGTACTTCATTCTGCAGGACTGTCATATCCTGGATCAAGGAGGAGTAAAGATTTATGTCTGGAGAGGAAAAGATTCCAGTGCTGAAGAGAAGAAGGCAGCTTTCAGCCGAGCAGTAGTAAGTCATCCAATCCAAAAATCAGCTCTGTACTGTATGCAACACACTGGTACCACTTAGTGCAGCATTCAGCCCCATCCAGCCACAGCCTGCCATAGACTTTGACAGGCTGCCTGCAGTGGGATTTGACACTGCACCTGTCCCTCCTGGGTAATCTAAAATGCTGAGAGTGACGCATTGCAACTGGACGTCCCCGTGTACAAGGGCTGGAAATTGCCTATATTTACTGTTTTTTTTATACCCCCGTACAATCTTAGTGTTACTTTTTGGAATATTAAATATGAGCAAGAAGCTGATGCCTGACTTCAAAATCTGCTGAATAGGTTGGCTTAAAATAATATGTTGAATTTTTTTAACCTGCCACTTTATACTAATCTCTCACAAGAGTTAAATCTGGTGCAATGTACCTGGTCAAACCTGGTCCGTGGTATCACTGAATTTAAAGTGTGCTTCGCTGGGATTGCAAAATAGTTTGTTTTTTGGGACAATCTCAGCTCTGTAGTCCTAAGTTTAAGTACCCATACCTGAAATATAACCTTTTGTGAATTAGCCCAACGTCTGCCAAGAAGCCAAGGTGCACCTGTTATCAGAAAAATATGTGGACTTTGGCCTCCAACCTTCTAAAAATGCTAGTTCCTGGGCTGCCATGGTGATGCTTGGCTTCTTTGTTTTCAGTGACTTGAAGCAAGTATATGCATAAACAGTTGTCTTTTTTTCCCAAAATATTTTTTTATTGAAATTTATTTTTGCACTTTTTAACAAACTTCTGAAGGCAGTACAATACGTAGCATTGTACAGAACGTAACTGTTACATAATCATAGGGGAACTTTTCAAGAACAAAAGTAAGATATCCAGGATAGGCAGAAGGCACGGCACTGTAGGATTTCTTACTGCCACGCCATCAGGCTATTAGGGTGAGGCCCCACAAAGGGGTGTTTACAATATAAGTTGGCTGTCAAAGTCTGCTGTAGTAAATCCCAGGATCAATGTAGATAGGGGATAATGGCATCTAGTAGGGGATATGTATTGGGATAGGATAAGGTTGGACAGGGGAAGGAATGGTTGGAATATCTAAAGATTTGAGTTGTTATAATGGGAATTCGGGGTACGTTATTGTCATAAATTAGAGTGGGGTGGAAGCAGTTAGGGAGGGGGTGGGAGAGTATGGGATAGGCTCAGGAGAAGATGGTGGAGGCCACTGCATCCCACACACATTCGTCTGTGAGCATGTGTGCAAAGGTTTGGTAACTATACGCCTCTGATTTCTGTGCTGGGTAAGGAGTGTATTTTTATTAAGACAGAGTTTAAGTATAGGAGAGGTGGAGAATTCCTGGAAAAGTGAGTTCAATAGAAAAGAATATTTCACTTATACAAAACATTAAGGTTATACAAAATGTGTGCATTTTATTACTCAACCCCAGATCCAGATTATTATCACAGGAGCCTGCAGACATACAACCTTTGGTGCTTAAACTAAAACCCCTCTACCATGTTAACATGGAACATTTTCTTGTTTTACTGGTTCCTACATGGCTTAGAATATCATCCAACTTGGCTTAGAATATTAAAACAATGTAAAACGTATCTTACAGTATGTGAGATGGCTATAGTTCTACTGATAATGAAAAAGAAAAAAATGGCTAATAACTATACAGGGAAAAGCTGTCTCTGTGTCTTTTCCCACCTCTGATCAGCCAAAAGTCTCTAAAATTAGAAATAAAAGCAGTATCATCACCTGTTGCCATGTACTCATTTGGTAATGCATATCAAACTCAATATGACTGGCATGTAAATAAGCTGGATTTTGATAAATCATTGGGTTAGTGCACATCATAGTAATTCACTACAGTTTGGTATTCACAGTATGACGTTTACTATTTATTACCTGTAGGGCTTCATCCAAGCCAAGGGATACCCTGCTACTACTAATGTGGAGGTTGTGAATGATGGAGCCGAGTCTGCCATGTTCAAACAATTATTTCAGAACTGGAGGGATTATGGAGAGACACAAGGACTTGGAAAGGCACATAGCATGGGGAAGATTGGTATGATGTCTTGCAAGTTTCATACATTCATAAAATGTTAAAATCTACGTATACAATATATGTATGTGTGTGTGTGTGTGTATGTATATATATATATATATATATATATATATACACTATATTGCCAAAAGTATTGGGACACCCCTCCAAATCATTGGATTCAGGTGTTCCAATCACCTCCATGGCCACAGGTATATAAAATCAAGCACCTAGGCATGAAGACTGCTTCTACAAATATTGGTGAAAGAATGGGTCGCTCTCAGGAGCTCAGTGAATTCAAGCGTGTTATCATGATAGGTTGCCACCTGTGCAATAAGTCCATCCATAACATTCCCTTGCTAATAAATATTCCATGGTCAACTGTTGGTGGCTGTGTTGCTGTTGTTCACAGATGCTTCCACTTTACTATAATTCCACTAATTTCAGGCCACATAAAATGACAGAGTGGGGTCAGTGCATTCTGAAGCGCACAGTGCTCAGAAGTCGCCATCAGACTGCAGAGTTAATAGCTAAAGACCTCCAAACTTCATGTGGCCTTCAGATTAGCACAACAACAGCGCGTAGAGAGCTTCATGGAATGGGTTTCCATGGCTGAGCAGCTGCATCCAAGCCTTACACCACCAAGTGCAATACAAAGTCTCAGATACAGTGGTGTAAAGCACACCATCACTGGACGCTAGAGCAGTGGAGACATGTTCTCTGGAGTGATGAATCACACTTCTCTGTTTGGCAATCCGATGGATGTGTCTGGGTTTGGTGGTTGCTAGGAGAACGGTACTTGCCTGATAGCATTGTGCCAAGTGTAAAGTTTTGTGAAGGGGGGATTATGGTGTGGGGTTATTTTTAAGGGGCTGGGCTTGGCTCCCTAGTTCCAGTGAAGGAAACTCTTAAGGCATCAGCATACCAAGACATTTTGGACAATTTCATGCTCCCAACTTTGCGGGAACAGGTTGGGGATGGCCCCTTCCTGTTCCATGATGACTGCACACCAGTGCGTAAAGCAAGGTCCATAAAGACATGGATGAGCGAGTTTGGGACAGAGGAACCTGACTGGCCTGCACAGAGTCCTGATCTCAACTGGATAGGACACCTTTGGAATGAATTAGAACAGAGACTGCGAGCCGGGCCTTCTTATCTGACATCAGTGCCTGACCTCAGAAATGCGCTTATGGAAGAATATCGTATGTACTCTCCAGTGCCTCAGGATATGCACAGCCAAAAGGGAAGCCAAGGGTATCAGGACAGCGAAAACCAAAGGAAATGCTTCAGGGGTGCAGCCCTCCTCAGATGGGGAAATCAGCCACTGGATAAAGAGAAAACAGGTGGCGCACACACCTAGTGCATTATCCAAGGTTTATTGTAAAGAGTAAAAAATAATAAAAACATACTCACAAACGAAGCATGTATCTAAAAAGCATAGAAAAATGATGATGGCCACAACGGCAGGCAAGGTGTCCTCACTGTCAGTGCGGTCAAATGTCTGACGCATTGCGGGGACGAATCCCTTTCCTCAGAGCTAATGACCAGCCTCTGATGCAGATGTGTAATGGATTAAAAGTGGGAGCCTTGCTGTGTGATGCCTGCAGCTGTTATAGCTGCAAAGGGTGGGCCAACTCCATATTGAACCCTATAGACTTAGACTGGGATGCCACTAAAGTTCATGTACGTGTAAAGGCAGGCCGACCAATACTTTTGGCAATATAGTGTGTATGTATGTATATATATATATGTGTGTGTACATATATTTTGGGATGCAGATGATGGCTACACATGGCATAAAATGTTTTTTGTTGGTGTAATCTATTGGCAACTTTGATGTTTCCAGCCAAGGTGGATCAAGTTAAATTTGACATTAACCAGTTGTACGCCAGACCAGAATTAGCAGCAGAACAGAGGATGGTGGATGATGCTTCTGGGAACGTGCAGGTGAGTCAGCAATTCTACGAACATCATTAGTAGTGAACTTCAGTAGAAAAGAACCCATGTGAATACTTTATAGTTGTCTTTAAAGCTTATAAAATATAAAACTTTCCTTCACAGATCTGGAGAGTTGAAAACCTGGAGCTTAAAGAAATTGATCCAAAAACATATGGAAGATTCTATGGAGGGGATTGCTACTTAGTGCTGTATACCTACATAAAATCTGGCAAACCAAATTACTTACTATACATGTGGCTGGTAAGTGGGATATTCCCTTTAAAAAAAGACTGCAAATAATGTGGTATAAGATTAAGGATTAACAAATTTGTTTTTCTTACGTTAACAAAATGTAGTGTTTCTGGGTTACTTAAATACATACGGTTTGTATTTTTAAAACAATGTATCCTTATTTGAGAACGAAAAAAACATTCTGTAGTAACCTGCAGCAACCAACAGGTAACTTTGCCTGACATCTGTAAACCATTTGAAAGTAATTGATTGCTAGAGATCACTGTGTACCATCGCCCTCAGTAGTAATAAACAAAATGAGTGCACCTTTGCATTCATCAGTATTTTCATAATTTTTTTTTTCCATGCAAGCAGTTGAAGTACCTAACTTTTACTTGCTACCAGTTTTGCAGTCCCTCTACAGCAGCAGAGCTCAGACTTAGGGAGGGAGAAGACGCACAAGCAGCCAATTAGTGTTGCAGTACAAGGAGCATGCTGATAGGGGGAGATCAGAGTGATGGAAGGATGAGCTGATTGGTTTGCTGATTCTCCTTTCACTGCCCAGTCACAGGATGGGGATGGGAAGGAGACCTGAAAGTGTTACTGGAAAGCAGCAGATTACAATGAAGTCTCCTTCTCTGCCAAACAGGGTTGTTCTGTGTGGCAGAGCTGTATATATCTCTGTACTGGATAGACAAAAAGGCAAATTCATTGGCAGGCACAACAGCTCCCTAATATGTATTTAATACAATTGTTTAGCTGTTTGTTCTGAGGTCAGCTATAAGTTTTCTATACAGCAGAATGTTGTTTGGCAGATCTGTACATTGAGGTCTTCTTTTTCTTGCTATGTGGAACTATGAGTGCTATGTGGGATATTTCCTCCCTACACAATGTTAATGTAATAAATGTATTGCTATTTATCCCTGAACAGGGCCGCCATGCTACTCAAGATGAGATCACAGCAAGTGCTTTTCATGCAGTAGAACTGGACCGCAAGTACCAAGACCAGCCAGTTCAAATACGAGTGACAATGGGGAAAGAGCCAAAACATTTCCAAGCTATCTTCAAAGGAAAGATGATCATATACGAGGTAACATTTTTTAATTAAATGGAATAATAAGTATGGAATGCTAAAACAAATTTTAATGCACATTCATAATACTGTATATAGTTCATTTAAAAACAGCCTAATGTTCCCATAGCAAGCAATCCAACTGTCACTTTTACAAAGCCTCTAGCACTCTGGTGTTTGTGCTGCCTTTGTCACTCAGATTGGCACTGGGAGAATATAAAGATGCTGCACTGGATTACATAGCAGGTTTAGCTGAACACAGTAAGAGGTGAAGACAGTGAAAATTGTATTTTTAGGCAGGTTAGAAATATACACAGATCAGCCATAGCTTTATGACCACCCACCTAATATTGAGTAGGTCCCAATTTTGCTACAAAAACATCCCTGACCCATCAAGGCATGGAAGCCACTAGACCTCCGAAGGTATGCTATGGTATCTGGCACCAAGCCATCTGTAGCAGATACGTTAAGTCTTGTAAGTTTAAAGGTGGGTCCTTCATGGATCAAAGTTGTTTTTCCAGCACATCGTACAGATGCTCGATTGGATTGAGATCTGGAGCATTTGGAGGCCAAGTCAGAGCACACACACACGTTGTTTTCCTCAAACCATTCTTGAACCATTTTTGCAGTGTAGCAGGCTGCATTATTCTGCTGAAAGAGGCCACTGCCATCAGGGCATGCGGTTTCCATGAAGGGGTATACTTGGTCAGCAACAGTGGTTAGGTAGGTGGTGCATGTCAAGTAACATCCACATGAATGGGAGGACCCAAGGTTTCCAGCAGAACATTGCCCAAAGCATCACCCTGCCTCCGCTGGCTTGTCTTCTTCCCATGATGCATCCTGGTGCCATCTCATATCCTGGTAAGCAACACACACGCACCTGGCCATCCACATGATGTAAAATAAAATATGATTCATTTGACCAGATCACCTTCTTCCATTGCTCCATGGTCCAGTTCTGATGCTCCCCTGCCCATTGTAGGTGCTCTTGGCTGTGGATATGGGTCAGTATGACTGGTCTGTGGCTATGCAATCCCACACACAACAAAGGCCCATTCTTTCTGCTTTTAAAACAACAACTTTAGGGACAAAATGTTTACTTGCTGCCCAATACCTCCCACCAACTTTCAGATGCCATTGTAACCCGATAAACAATGTTATTCATTTTGCCTGTCAGTGGTCATAAAGTTATGGCTGATCGGTGTAAATTAGATATTTTATTTGTTGCCATATTCTATTTTTTGACATCTTATTTTCCTTCTTTTTTTTTCTTCTTCCTACCTTTTCCTCCTAGTGCAGTGGCTGCTTAAAAACAAACCTTGGAGCTGTGTAGGTATTTATGTGTATTGTCTAAATAATATCATAATGTTTGTATCTTATGTAGGGAGGAACAAGTCGAACTGATAAAGTAGAACCAGAGCCTCCTATCAGACTGTTCCAGGTTAGAGGAACTGATGAATTCAACACAAAGGCCACAGAGGTCCCAGCCAGAGCAGCGTCTCTTAATTCCAATGACGTCTTTGTGCTGAAGACTGATTCTGTGTGTTCCCTGTGGTGTGGAAAGGTATGTGCATTGTTTGAATATGTAAAACTACAGGTTGACAAGAAAGGTTCACGCTATGCATTTTAAAGCTGAATGAACTCCAGGCAAGCATGTAAATAAACAGTTGACATACATGTACAGTATATAGCAAATGTTCTGTCTGCCAGGAGATTGTAATTCTCTGTGCAGCATGACCTGGCAGACAGCATAGCCAGATACTGAAATTCCTCTGCAGCAGCACAGCTTGAAATAAAATATATGTGAAAAAATATCCCAACCTGCGAATTGGACTATGAAGTAGCTGGAGCAAACTGATTAGGCCATACCTTCTTCCTTCTGACAGCATGTTTAACATCGGCACATGTTTATGCTGCAGAAACAAATTGGTATCTACTGCTGCCCCTGCTTTACAGGGAATTACAAAAGGCTGGTGTAACGCCCTCCAGGTTAGCCAGATAGGCTGGTTTGTTTTTCTCTTTTAGGCAGAGGCTGAGTAGTACCCTGGGATGAGTCAGCCTGTGAGTGAGACAGGAGTTCACCTCAAGTCAGGCTAGGATGCTCTATCATGTCAGGTCTTCTGGAGCCCTCCCACCTCTCCAGAAACCTTAGAGATTTCTAGAAGAGGGGTGGAGGAGGGGAGGAGGCCCAGATCTGCAGATTTAAGGGACCCTGGCCAATCCCTGGCAGGAGGCTGGGCATGGTGACCAGGGCAACCCTCAAATGTGGTAGAGCCTGGGGAGCAGGGGATAGTGTCGGGTGGAAGATGGAGTGAGGAGCTGGAGTTTGGAGCCTGGGGGCTACCTACGGGCAGCTGCTGGAGAAGAGGATTTCCACTGTGCCACCGTCTCCTAGGGAGGACATCCTGAGCAGCAGGGAAATAGCTAGCCCAGCAAAAGGCCTGAAGGCAGCCACCAACCCACCAAGATGATGGGAAAGGACAGTGTGAGTACACTTGCACCCCCTGAGCCAGAGAAGGGGAGAGGACAAAGGTATAAAACCCAACTAGCATATCATGTGGGATTGCTGCTTTAAATTGGCAGCTTCTGGGCCCCCTCAATTCAGCTGGGTGAAGAGGAGGAATCATCCAGGGTCTGAGGAGGTACACTGAAGGGACTTGAGTACCCCTTAAAGAGAGACTGTTGATATCCACATTTTTGTACATAGTTGCTAAGGAGTTTGTCATCAGTTTCTGAAGTTCCTCGGGCATCTCATATACCCCTAAACCCCATCCAAGTTTAACCCCTTAATAAAAATACAAAACCAAGCTCAAGGACTGTTCTTTGACTCCAGTGCAAAGTGTGGAAAAATGTGTGTTGCCTGGCTGTGCAGAGCCTAAGGGGGGCCCAAAACTCAGCGACTCCTAAGGGGGTAGTGCCACACTGGTTTTAAGACAAATTCAGGTGCTTAAACTAGTTAAATACAAAATACATTAATGATGTTTAATGAATACATAAATGCAATATATGATGTATTTATTTGCTTTTGCCTGAAAGTCCGCAACAATGCAGTGGCTATATATGATCTGCACCTTGCTTTTGCCATCACTGGCTGTTGAATAAAAGATGCCCTGTTAGCTCAGATGACAAACACATTACATGTACACATTAAGAACATGTAAATACTGCACATTTCAGTGCAGTTGCTGTGTAGTTTGAGTGGTCTTTCTGCATTTATATTTGATGCAGAGATATTTTAATAGGAGGAAATTTGTGTTGCTTAAGCTGGCCATACACGCATACAATTTGAGCTAAGTCTTGCTGAATTAGCTGAAATGTAGGTAGTGGATGATCCTGTCAATAAAAAAGTTGATCTTTTTGTCAAAGGACCCGGGTGGAAGACTCTTGGCTGAACAGCACCGCATTCAAAAGTTCATGTACAATTTTCATGCATTTCCATAAATTTAAATGTAAATGCATGTGCTTTAAAATGCATTGGTTTTAATGTAGCCTAAGACTTACCCTAACCCCCTACCTTAATCTTACCCATTGAATTTACCTGTAATTAGTCCCATTACAGTTGAAAAAACATAATCTTACACATAATCCTCTAAACCTTGAAGTGAACCTCTGCTTGCTTTGAATGATGTGAAATGCCTGGTACTTATGGGTATGAAACAAACAATAAATAGATGCAGTGTCACTTTAAATCATATACCACCAAATGTGAGCAGTTAAAGTGGAGTTCCACCTAAAAAAAATAAAAATAAAAGTCAGCAGCTACAAAAACTGTAGCTGCTGACTTTTAAAATACGACCACTTACCTGTCCCTTGGTCCAACAGTGTCCTCACCACCGCTGGTTTCACCGGCCGTCTTCTCTCCCTGGCGCCAACATCTTCAGTGTGTCACGTGTCCCAGAAGACTACAGGGAGGGAGGGGGAGAGGACACCTTCTGATTCTGATAGCCTAGGTGATCGCAGTGGGAGTGGGTACCTGTCAAATTCGGGTACCCGCTTCCCAAAGGTGCCAATCCTTAATGAGGAGCGGGGGACAAAGGCTTAAAGCGGAACTTCCTCTTTTAATTAGTTCAAAATGTACTTACAGAGACGTATGAAATAACAGCCTAAAAGTCTCACCTCTGCATGCTGCTTGGACATACGTGCAGGCATGATAATGTCAGCACCAAAGCCCCACCACTACATGTTTTGTTCACATAGATGTCCTCAGGGGAATGAGAGGCCATGTGATTCTCTCTTCTGCCCCCAACAAATAACACAGAATGATTGAGTTACAAATGATTAGATTTGTATGCTGTCATGTGAGGATAAACTCTTTAGGCATGCCATCAGATCAACCTAGAGCTTACACATTAGGGGAGTGGGGGTAAGAAGCAAGGGGGAAGGGAGACAGCATTTTTTTATTTAATATTCTGCCTCCCCAGTCTAAGCATTGAACGTGTGATCGCTATGACTCATCCAGTGGCAAGAAAGCTATAACTCACAATCTCAGTAGAGTTGGCAGACAATGACTGGATCAAAATGACTTTTCAGATCGTACAGAGCTTTAATCCAAACGTGTGCAAATCTTAACAAATGAACATCCAGATAGGTCAAAAAGATCATAATGTGACCGGCTCCAGCAAAATACATGCGATCACAATGAAAACTAAATCATAAAGGAGGTTAGAGCTAACTATACAAGGCACTTCCTAGATACGTAGTGAGGTAGTGACAACATGTTAAAAAGCAAAAAAAATAGACAAGCATGTGTAACATGATACTTAAAGGGGTATTAAACCGAAAAGCATGGTGATCCAGCCAGTAAGTCTGTTGTGTTTCAACAGAACAAGCTGTCTTGTAAATATAGCAGCTAGAGTGTTCAGAAAAACCATTTACCACTGACAGGGTTACATATATTATTATGCAGCCTAAATCAAAATTGTAAATTGTCTAATGCTAAATTAACCCATATAAATTTCACTTTATGACATCTCATGAAAACACTATATAGAAGGACAGAATTTGCAAGGTCCTCAATGTGTGACAAAACATTTTAATTTAGTCCTATAAATCACATTGTATATTTTTTATTCTCTTTAGGGCTGCAGTGGAGATGAGAGAGAAATGGCAAAGACTGTAGCCAATATAATCTCTAAGCAGGACAAACAAACCATCCTTGAGGGTCAGGAACCTAATGAATTCTGGGTGTCTCTGGGAGGAAAAGCTCCTTACTCAAGTGAAAAAAGGTAAATTCATTTTCAGTATAATTACCTCCATTTATATACTACATCCCAACAAGTTTAACTCAACTGGTTTAAACCCTGAGACATACCTACCCCAACCCCACCCATGCATTGTAGATCCAGCAATGTCTTTAGCCTTTTCCTGCAAGTGATGGATGCTTTAGTGGAAGGACACACATAAGGGCAGTTTCAAAATCAAACGTCTCAATGTGTAGCACATTGGTGGGTACAGATCCTTGTAGCAGCACTTGCTTCCATTAGTTGACTCTCAGGGCAACCCCCTTATGCATTAGAAAGATGCTGTAAGGGCTTGGCTGATCTGAGACATCTTAGGCAGGTTGTACATTGAGCAAATTGCTCAAATCCCCCATCCACACATGCAGTGTTGATGGGGGAATCCCTCCTGTGGTGCTTTTGACAATGGGAGATTTCCCAGCCATTAGATTAAAATTATCACTGTTGCCAGTGGATCTCAGTTACGCCGGCAGTGATTGAATGAAAAAACTCGGCAAGCTGGTTGTACTGAAGTCAGTCAAGCAATCAAATTCAGCACAACAAGCCTGCCCATAAATGGATCGAAATTCGGGCCAGTTCCTGCTGAATTGACCGAATTTCGATCCGTCTATGGCCAGCTTAACTGAGATCCAGTCATTCATTGCACAGGAAAATAAATGGATCTCCAGAGTGTGTCCCCTACTGTCTGGCATATTACATGCTAAAGAGAACACAAACCAGATAGATGCTTCTATGCAGCGGCAGACTGACAACTCATGGGGCCCCCAGGTAATAGGGGATTATGGGGCCCCTGTGTCCTTGCCCAAACTCAAAAAAGCCTATGAAAAAGGTACCAGGGGCATCTCATGGGGGCCCCCTACTGACCCCAGGCCCTTGGGCAGTGCCAGAGTTTCCAAATGGTCAGTCCGGCCCTGCTTTTATGTTAACTTGCTTCACTTTTCAGCAGTAAAGTGTATTTCATTTTGAAAGGTATATATGTAAGCTTAACAATCTCTAAAGAATTTGCAGCACCGATTTTCAGTGCTACCAGTTGGGTAATTGTAATGAACTGACTGCCCCCCTACTCTGCTTATGAGAAGTTAAAGCTGTATAAACCCCCCAAAAAACATATAATTATGCAGCTTACCAATTCTTACATGTTATGGCTGCATTCGTTTTCTTTTTTAGTTTTTTTTAATATTTTCTTCTGGTGATTCAGCCAGGAAGTCTGTTGTTTTTCAACAGAACATGCTGTCCTGCAGATACAGCAGTTAGAGAGTGGAGACAAACCATTTGCTACTGACAGGGGTGCTTACAATGATAGCTTTTATTTATGTAAAACCTTTATCCCAAAAGGAACCAAACTGTTGGTGTAACTGCCAATAAAGTGTGAGCTGGAGTTTGGCTTCAGTTTTGTTAGTGTATCTAAATCTGCTAGTACATCTAAGGCCCCTTTCGCACACAGCAGAATCTAATGTGCTCAGCAGGGGATCTGTTCGCTGATCAGAGCAGAAACAGGTCCATGTCCACTCAGTTATGTAAAGTGGACAGGGACAGAGCCACTGTATGGACCAGCGAGTGTAAACAGACCAGTTGTCTGTTTACACCGACTGCCATCCGATCTGATCTGCCTAGTCAGAAGGGGACAGAGCCCCTTCTGCTTGTTTTTAGCGGACCGAATCAAGGATAGGCAGGTATAAATAGACACAAGTCTGTGTACACCTGTCGATCATAGAGATGAATGCACCATCTGATCACGTCTGCCTGAAAAACTGACAGGCGAACATGATCAGAATGGTCCTGTGAAAGGGACCTAACACCCCCCCTTCCCCCAAAATTGACAATGCTGCTGTCCAAAGGTGCCCCTGTGCTCCTTCATCCAGAGTGGGGGCACTCTAATACTGGAGGTGTGTTACTGGCCAGATCACAAAGTGAAAACAGAGGGGAAAAAAAGCTTAAAAATGAAAACTAATGCAGCCACCACATCAAAAGGTTTGTAAGCTGCAATAATATTACATTTGATTTTGGGTGTAATACCGCTTTAATCCTCAAACTGAATACTATTTAACAAAGTCAAAAGCAAATGGAACAAATTTGGGCTGGAAAGATTCAAGCTGTATTGGATCTTTGGTTGGCTGACAATAATGACCAGTCCATCCTCAATCCAAAGAGTACTGTTATCTGCTAGTCCACTCTAATATATTTTCTGTATGTCACACTTATTTTCCAAACCAGAAAAGGTGTTCATAAATATACCGAAGACTACTTTCTATATAGTAAATGTGTCAGTGTGTGTTTATACAGTTATGTCCATGTTCATTTCTATTATATATCACATAAGAGATTGGATTTCAGGTGTTGCACACGTCCCTTTGCCCCATTGCAACCTAATAATAAACATATTTGGAATCAGAAATATGGGAGTTGTCATTGCAGATTTGATTTTGACCAAACAAGTTCCAGGATTGCCATCTTTACCCTTTTATTACTACAGTGCGGATCTATCCTGAAGCAAATATGAAATAGTAAGGTACCTGGGCACGTGATATACACACATCTCTTTCATGTTGTCGATTTGGCAAGGTGACAAACTTTAGAGACAACACCCACATAGACAAGTCAGCAAAGTCCCTTATTGTATGCTGAGGGGGCCTTTAATTCCATCTACCCTAAACAGTGTATTACTTTGGCGCCCTCTAGTGGCACTTTTGGTTTTTTTTACAATAAACCTGTATCACTGCTTTAATGAGATGTAGGTTTGTTATGCTTTTCAAAAACATTTAAAACAAAAGAAAATACTTATAAATGTTAGAATTAATGTATTAACAAAACAAGACTTTTTTTTAGCACACCTATTAACACCTATTAGGTTTTTATTGCTGTCTGTGTCCTCATTAGTGAGATTCGTTATATTTGTCCCCTTTACCATGTCATTGAAAGTGAAAGTAAATGAAATTCCCAAACTTTGTGTTGTCCCCAGAAAAGCAATAGAGGGGAAATCTTCCAATATATTCCTTTAATTTGCATAGATTTCTTCTCACTTCCGGTTTTGGCTATGAGACAGGAAGTGAAGGGAAATCTCCCAAATGGGTCACAGATGGCAAAACTAAATCTGACAGGGGCTATAATTCTCCCTTACGCTATCCAAGATGAAAAGTGTTGCCTATAGTTCTACTTGAAGTTGCTAATATATTATTTTCAGTATATGATCAAAGTCCTAATGTTTTGTTTGGCATATTTAGATTCCAGGAGACTATGGTGCAGTATAAGCCCCGCCTCTTTGAGTGTTCCAATCAGACCGGTCGGTTCATCATGACGGAGGTGGTAGACTTCGCTCAGAGTGACCTTGATGAGGATGATGTTATGTTACTGGACACCTGGGAAGAGGTAAATGACCTGCTGTGCCCCCAGGGAGACTCAGGCACTAATTAGCATGGTACAGATATTTGTTCAGATCAACTCTCTGGCATTTACTGCCATTATCTTGTATTGAATTGTATTTGTAATTGTACTGTCTGCTCTCATATTGTAAAGGGTTGCTTCAGCTGTTGGTGCTATAAAAATCCTGTATATTAAAAAAATAATAATTATATATTATATTATATCATATTATTTATGATACAGATACTGTATGTATTTCATATCCATCATAGGAAAAGGACAAAGCCATATTTTTCTCTAAATACAAAGCTGCTGATAGAAAAACAAATTCCATAGTCAGTTTGCTACCCTTTTAGTCATATAACAGACAGAATCTGGGCAAGTATTGGGTGGTACTTGGCTCCCTATAGAGCAATCAGGAATGCTTTAGTTAGAAGCACTAACTGGCAGTAAATTATTACTATACAGTATTTATATAGCACCAAGAGTTTGCACAGTGCTTTGAAATATAACGAGAGACAGTACAGATACAATACAAAAGGGTTGGGAGCTCATAAGAGCTTACAATCTAATAATCCACTTAGGACATGCTAAATAGTGATTAAAGCTGAGTTTCACTCACGTTGTCAAAAAATAAGTCAGCAGCTACAAAAACTGTAGCTGCTGACTTTTAAAAAACAGCCACTTATCTGTCCCTCGGTCCCGCTGTGTTTCTCCCGCAGCCCGTTTCACCGGCCGTCCTGTGTTCCAGGTGTCTGCATATTCAGTGTGGGCACCTGGCTGTGTCTGCTTGCGGCTTCACAGTCAGGTACCCACTGCGCATGCACAAGTAGCGTTGCGCTTCTTGAATGGTCCTGTAGTCTTCTGGGACCTGTCATGTGTCCCAAAAGACTGCAGGGAGGGAGGACACCTTCTGCCCCCCCCAAAGGTGCCAATCCTTAATGGGGAGCGGGGAGCAGTCTTTAAAGCGGAACTTCCCTTTTTGGGTGGAGATCCGCTTTAAGGGATGCTAAATGACAGTGCATTTTTCAAATGTAGAAATTTCTGATTTGCTGGAAGATCTCTATGCAAGCAAACATTTCAAATTCCCTGTTATGTGAGAAAAAGAAAATCCCCCAAAAAATACATTGTTGGTGGCCTCTCACTCAGTCTGCCATCAATGAGTTTAATTATGCTGGAGACATGAAAGACATCAGGAGAGTGGACTGTGGTTGGTTTTTAGCGGGAAGTTAGTAACTGATTCCAGCAATCCTGCTTATAACTAGACAATGCATGGGGTGTAGTGATAATGGGACCCTGTGTGGGATTTGGCGATAACAGGACTATATATAGGGTGTAGTGTTAATGGGGATGTGTATGGGATTTGGGGATAATTAGATTCTACATATATGGGGTGTAGTGATAACTGAATCATACATGACATTTGGTGTTAACTGGTCTGTATATGGTACAACCAACTCTTGCCATGGAGTCAGTCAAGATTGTTCCAATTCCAACATTCCACATTAGTTATCCTGACAAGTTTTCTTTAAATTAATACACTAATTCAAATTCAGCATAAACATATGATGATATGCAGAACAAACAAAACTTACAGTAAAGAATAAAGGTTACAAATAAAGTTCACTCATAGCCTGGTAAATAAACTTGTTGGTAGAGCATAATATGTCCAGAAAGAACAGTAGAAATTTCCCAAATGTACAGTATACTTTAAAAAGTCTCTGCTTTAAAAAATGCCACTCATTTAAAAAAAAAGAATGTTTTTCCCATTATCACTATATCAATCTATGAAAAAATGCAAAATAAAAATGCAAAATAAAAATGTTAAATTGAAACATAAGTACATTTCTGTGCAGTTAAGCATTTTAATTTTAACTAATGGTTTTTTTAACAGATTTTTCTTTGGATTGGTAAATCTTCCAATGAATATGAGAAAAATGAATCACTTACTAGTGCCAAAGAGTATTTGAAATCTCACCCCGCGGGGCGGGACCTCTCCACACCAATAATTACAGTGAAACAAGGACATGAACCCCCAACTTTTACTGGCTGGTTTAATGCTTGGGATTCTCATAAATGGAGTGTAAGTATCCTTATTGGCCCCATTTCTGTAAACTTTGTATATAATAATATAATCATCAGAATTTATACAGCATATAAAAATACAGAAAAGAACATAACGCCATAAGAATAAGTACATAAATATTATGGCAGATTCTGGAGATTCAAATCACCTGATGGTGCCCTAAATTTACTGGGGATTTCAATTTGAATATCAGTACATTGCAGTTTTCAGTTCTGCACTCCTTCCTTGGCTATTACACCAGGGTTCCACTATTGAATTGTTTAATTTATGATGTTTCTTTGAGCATGCAACAGAAGTAGAAGAAACATAAAATGTAACTGGGATAAGAAACAAAAAATGATTGTGGGGTAGCTACCACTGTCGTAATTCCCATAAGATACCAGACTTGGGGTAATCAACTCACCGACTGCATCTTTGTTCCTTGTCCTATACACTGTTGCAACAACACTAATGTTTTACATCACTATTTTTCAAATCTGAAGGTGGGCAAATACAAGTATTTATTATGTTTTGACTGATATATAATTTGATCTATGTTTCATCAGTCTGATTTGTCGTATGAAGACATGAAGAAGAACTTGGGTGATGTTCTCAGCTATCTCACAGATAAGTGTGGTAAGTCTTCTGGAACTGCAGTAGAATTGAAGCTCTTGTCAAATGTAAAAAAGCATGACCATGTTGTAGAGCAGGTTGAAACATATTGAAATTTATACAGCCTTTATGTAGTAATCACTTGTGTAAATGTGTGGTGTTAGTACTTTCAGTTGAAATCCCTTATACCATAGCAGCATGTTTAATGCAGGGATCATTTCTAAAGATGGCTGCACTCAGGATGAATTTCAAATGAGAAGACATTTGGCAAACGAAAATTAAATATGTTTAAATGATACAAATTTAATATAAGGGCCATATTCATATTTCCCTCTGCATCCTCTATAAAAGACCCAATAGAATCAGTAAAATGAGCATCCAAAAGTGTGGTCTATGGCCTGGGGTCTTCCAGCATCCCATCCCAATATCCTCTGGCCTCCAGCTGGTAAACTGCTCCCAGTCACCACTAAAGGGCACTATTTGTGAATGGAAGACTCTGTAGCCAGTATGTCTAGGAGTACAGCACCAACATGCTGTGTCTGAAATCTTGGGTTGCCCACTATGAGATAATCAGTCTCTATTTTTTTTTTTATTTGATGCAAGCTGCAGAGACAACTGCAAATACAGCATTTATTGTAAAAATAGCAGAGCATTATATGCACTAGAAGATTTACATTTGTGGCAAGAAATAGCACACAACTGCTATTGGGGTTATTTACTAAAACTGCATGGTGCAAAATCTGGTGCAGCTGTGCATAGAAACCAATCAGATTCCAGGTTTTATTGTCAAAACCTAAGTGAACAAGCTGAAGTTAGAAGTTGATTTGCTACCATGCACAACTGCACCAGATTCTGACTGCACCCGTTTTAGTAAATCACCTCAGATGGGTTGGCTAAATAGATAGCACAGCAGAGAAAGCTGATTGACACCTCCAACATAGCCATCTAAGAAGTGAATGAGCTATTGTTGTTGATGGCTCACCAAGTTCAGTAAACAAGTTGGTTTCAGTAGAGCTAATCATGTAAAAAGACAACTAGCCCTCCACCTTCTGGCTTCATAGATGACTACATAATATTAATATGTAATATTTCATATTTGCCTAATATTTTCAGAGATTTATTTGATTTGTCCAGGCCATAATTAAAAAAAAAAGCCATGTCATTGGCAACAAAAGGAATAAAGTGACCATGTCAGCACAGGGTCACTTTGTATGTTAAATCATATCTGTAATAAAGGAAAGAACATACCTTTCCAGTTTCCCATTTGTTATTATGCCTTTCTTTTTTAAATATGCTCTTAAATGTAATCGACCAACTGGATGCGTCAAATACATGTTTTCCAAGTTGCACGCATTGGTTTCTCCTACTGATTCATACTTTACTACAGGATGTATATAGGACAACCACAGGGGTTATAGAGCAGCACAATGCACACATGCTTATGCCTTGTGCATTATATTGCCCTGTACTGAAAAAAAAAACATGCACCCCCAATGTTTTTGTGCACTAAGATGTATTGATACCTATTCAAAATTAATTCGCTGCCCAACACAAGGCACCTCAATGCATTGTGCTATGGTGTAAATTGGCCCATAGATTTGCACTGTGAGATAAAGCAATAAATCACAGCTACTGTGTACTGCGCAAAGAAGAAAGCAGAGCCTGTGTATGATACGAACAAAAATAGCTGCCTGCAGCTACATAGTATACATAGTAAGCATAGAAGCAAATGCCTTTATAAAACATTCAAACACGCTTATAACTTTATTTGATTTCTCCAGGACTTACAAAACACAAACATAAATGCGAACAGCTCAAGTAAGGTCAGCGCTCCAGCAAAGACAGAGAACAGCAATGTGGCATCCCCAGTGTATCAGCCACACAGGAAAGGAAATCTGCCAGTCAGTAATGGTAACCACACCGCCGCCAACGACACCGCCACCAACGGCACCCCCAGCAACAGTAACCCTGTCGTGGAGGCCTTCCCACAAAGCAATGGGAGCAATGTATTTAACAAAGAGCTACTCATTAACAAAAATGCAGAGGACCTACCTGATGGAGTAGACCCTTCAAAAAAAGAGGTGAGAACAATTTGGTCAAAATAATAATAAACAATTCCTTTAAGGGCAGTTGTGTAATAATCACAAAGGCAAAACAACAGGTTCACTTTAAAGTCAACCTCCACAGATTCTAAAACTTTGATTTTTTTTTCAAGTTTTCTTAAAGGAAACCCCTGCCGCTTCTTAAACTTTCCACCCCCAGAAGTGAGATCAAGAATCCCTGTGTAGGTACAGATGAAGCTCATTCAGAGCTGAAAAAAACTCTCCCTTCCCCCATGTGTCATTACTGGGCCAAAGATCAAGCTCAGGTGGTGTCACATGGGAGGAAGAGAATGAGTCATATGATCCCAATATAGGAAGTAACTGTCATTTTTGTTCATCTCCGGTATTGACGTGATGGGACAGTGATAAAGGGGTAAGCATATGCAGGGGGGAGGCTGAGCATTATAAGGCTCTGTTTGCTGTGAACACAGGTTCACTTTAACAATTGGGATGTTTTTTTGCACACCACCATTAACTTATTCCAAGTCAGCAGCTCTAAAATCAAGCAGTTACAGGAAACAGTTTTGTTTTTCCTTTTGGATAAAGGTTTTACATAAATGAACCATTGTAAGAACTCCTGTCTGTGTGAAATGGTTTGTTTCAGCCCTCTAACTGCCACTATGTTTGGATAGCTTAATTTGTTAAAGCAAGGTAACAAATAACAGACTTACTGGCTGGATCACCAGGTGAAAATAAAGGAAAACGCCTTTAAAAAAAACTAATGCAGTCAACATATCTAAGAATTGGTAAGCTGCAAGTTAATACATTTTTGTTTTTAGATTTAATACCAATTTAAAATGGTATCCAAAAAAATAATATGATGCGGCTTACCAATCCTTTAATGTAGTGGCTGCATTCATTTTTTTTTTCTTTTAGGTTTTTCCTTTATGTTTATCTGGTGATCATAATAGTAACACACTTCCTGTCTTAGCACATCTCTTTTTTGGATGGAGGAGCAACAGAGCCACCTTTGGACAGGAGCATTGTCACTCTGGGGAAAGGGTAGTGTTGAATGCCCTAGCAATAGTTTTTGTTTTTTTGGTTTTACATAAACAAACGATGACCATTCATGGACATGCCTTGAATGTAACTGTTTTGGGGAACACTTAAATTGGTGGGTTTAATTCCGCTTTCAATGGTTTGTCTCAGCCCTTTAACTTCCACTTTTGCTAGACAGCTTGGTCTGTGGAAGGAAGTTAAAAAAAATAGCAGACTTACTGGCTGGATCAACAGATGAATACAATAGAAAAAAGGAGAAAATGAACGCAGCCACCACGTCTAAGAATGTGAAGTTACTATATAATAATTTTTATCTATTAAGGTTTAACACAGCTTAATCCTCTTTGACAAACAAGATAACAGCTCTACTTCCAGGCTGACATGTGTTAACTAGAACCGGTTGCGGGTGATTAGGCCCACCCCTGAACAATATCCACCAATACAGAAAGAGTGGGTCACACTGCCACTAGTCCCTTTAAAAAAAAAAAAAAACCAAGCCTTATTACTCTCCAGGCCACAACATCCCGCCAGACACAGGATCCTCCCTCCCTCTACAGCTGAATCCTATGTTATATGTTAAATGTCATAGGAGGAGCCTGAGTCCAGCAGGATGCTGTTGCTTAGAGAGGAATAAAGCAAAATAATATGTGAATAGCGGTGATGCAGCCCATTCTTTCAAACCTAGATCAGGGTAGTATGGAAATAAAGGACAGTTTTAAGGAATTATTGAAAATGTTTCCTTTTGTACATTATATACTCTCTTTCTGTTGTTGATTTACATTGTTCATTCTCTAATCGGAATTAGAAAATTATTTTTTTAGAAAAAGTGGCACAATACAAATTAAAGTAGTATTAAACAGTACAAATTTTATTAAATAATACATTTTAAGCATCCTAGTGAACATAGAGAAAATATTTACTAGGGAATACAGTATGTGGGCACAAGCAATTGCTTTAGATCCAGGTTCGTTGGCACAGCTTCCCAGAACTTCCTGTCAGAGAGCATGCTCACGGAGTCTCAGTAACAAAAGGTCCACACAGGTGAAAGCTGCTGTCCCTCAATTAGCTGGAAGCAGAGGGAGTGGCTTGCAGTGGGCTGTGTGTTTGCATGATCCTGTGGGTTCACCCTAAATCTGGGAGGTGAGGACAGCATGCAGGGGACAGGCTCTTTCACCAGCAAACTGAAACTTCAGTACATTAAGGCTACGTTCACACTAGCTTTGTCAGCAGGTGTCAGACAGGCGTTTGGGAAGCTTTTTTAATGCTTCTCAAATGCCTATGAAAATTCAGCACATGGCAGCACACAGTGCTGTTCACACAGCGTTAGCATTGCGTCGCGTGTTGCGGGAAAAACAATGCCTCGTGGAGTCAGAAGGAGTTGAAGCCTCCCATTCAAGTCTATGGTGCCGCTCCTCAAATGCCTGGCAGGCGGTTGTGACGCAGTTGCGAGGCGTTTGCAGAGCGTTAATATCATTTAACTTCATTATAGGTTATGCTTGGCAAACACCTATCAAATGCGCATGGGGCGTTTGGGGAGCGTTTGAGGAGTGTTAAAAACACTTCCCAAACGCCTAACGCCTGTCAAACGCTATAGGGGTGTTTGGCAAGAGTTAGAAATAAAGTCAAGTGTGAACGACCCCTAAGGGGTAGAAAAGATTGTAAGTATATTGATCAGCATTTGAAATAGCTAAAGATATTTTGACTTTAAATATAAAATATGGTTACACACATGCTAACACATTTCCTATTTTATTAATCAATATTTTATGTTCTTTTTAACAGCTGTACTTGTCTGATAGTGACTTTGCCAATATGTTTGGGATGCCTAAAGCCCAGTTCTACCAGCTACCCAAATGGAAGCAACAAAATATTAAAAAACAACATGGCCTGTTTTAAATCTTATGCTTTCTAATCTACGAGGAGACATCAAGAACCATCTTACTTCCAAAGTTATCTATGCATCTGCTGAGATGAGCACATTCCTGTTTTCTATTCTGTGATTTGTATTTATTTAGGTTTCTTTAAATTCAGGGTTTTTTCAGGAGCTGTGTCCTTCAGAGTTTTTTTTTTTTATTACCCTATCTACCCCTGGATAGCTTATGTGCAAACTTAGATATTGTGACTGTTTTTTATTCTGATTTCCTCCACATTTCCACAACAATGTAGTGTCCCATCTTCCTCTCATCCTGATTTTTCTGATATATTTCCATATACACATCCCCTATTATGTCATGGACCATCTACTAAGACATCACACTAACCTTTCCCAACTTGGTCACATTTCCACGCTGTTTCTATTGTGAGCATAAGTACACCTGGATAGCTTAGTGCTAGAGATATGAACTTTGAAAAGACAGTTTACTAAGGTAAACAAAATCTAAATTTTTTTAAGTCTATTGTCTATTTCATATTGTATTATTGTTACTGCAAGAAAATTAGGTCCGTAAAGAGAGTCTTTACAAAATGATTCTAATTCATATAGCAGGAAAGGGCATGCTTATAAAAGGAAGTTATTCTCCTTTTTTGGTGAGATATTAATTTTTATAGATTTGTGCCCTTATAAACAAAGTTTTAACATTTTTGTTAGACTATTTGCCAACTTTTAAAAAAAGGTGGCATTTTTCTTGCAATTTTCTCTTTATTGCAGTAAAATCTGGAAATTTTAGATTCTGGCTGTTTGTTCACTACTGCTGTACTCTGTATTTACAGCTTTATTTAGGTGCGGTGCATTTAGGATTTTTTTTTTTATTTTTTGTGACCTACCATTTGTCCCAATGGAAGGTACATTGTGCTAGAATTTAGGTGCTCTATTTAGGTACGGTGCATTTAAGGATTTTTTTTTGTGAGCTACCATTTGTCCCAATGGAAGGTACATTGTGCTAGAAACCAAAGAAGAGGCAGGACTTTTATTTATCAGACCTCACCAAAATCCATATATGTGAATGCAACCTCATACACTGAAGTTTGTAGCAAAATTTGGAGAACTTTAATGAGAATAATACTATACCAATTCTTTAAAATAGCATGAGAGATAGAAACACAGCAAGCATGTACCTGCATGAAAACATGGTTTCTAATGTCTCCAGGGCCAATATATCCTACTGAGCCTTTGACTATAAAATGGCACATCATTAAAAATTACATACACTGGTGCCATTTCTTCCATCCAATGTTCTTTTTTAAACGCCACTATAGGTTTATTACTAATAAACAGAACCCTTGCCAAGATGTTGATTACTGTCATTCTCCCATTTGCTGTAGCCATGTTTATTACCTCTAACACTGCAGGTGGGGGGCAGAAAAAAAAATACAGCAATAGAATGTGCCAAGGTGCAATTTTTAAATAGCATTTTATTTTTATTGTTTAATCATATCGTGTGATCTAATAAATTCACTACAAAAGTTCATTATTCTGTATTGCCTTTCTTGTTTAAGTACACAAAAACAGAGCAGTTTTACAATTGTATGTTAAGCAGGCCATAGACGGGCCGTTAATCAGCCGAATTGTCGGCCGATAAACAAAAAATCGGTCTGCCCCGTTACCGATGCTGCCACCAATGTCCACGAAAAATGGCCGTTTTTAGTGGATTTTCCAGCATGACCGATAAAACTAAGTGAGAAGATCCACAAAAAATGGCCGACGGGCTGGCCCCACTAACAGCGTGAATATCAGCCGATTTTTCGTGCGGACAAAAATTCGACCGATAAACGACCCATCTATGGCCTGCATTAGTCTGAAAATCTGTGCAATGTGCCCCGTAATACTAGACACTTCACATTATGCTCTACACAGCTGATATTGATATTTCAACATCTTGTAGCACAAGATAAAGGAAACCTCTCAGAGAGCATGTCCCCATTTTAGAATGCCCCAGTGAAAGTTGCCCATGACACTCAGTAAGGCTTTATACTGGAAGGCCCTGTACACACAGGCTTCAGCTTGCACAAGAGGAGAGTTTACAACAAGATTTTACTAAGTATTTTGCAAAATTCTCAGCAAACGTCAGCCAGCTTTTTATGAAAACTTTAAAAGAACCTTTCAGTTTTAGTTTGGGGATATCAATCATACTTCAAAATGGGAATGCTGGTTGTCATTTTGCACAAGTTCCTAGCAGGCTTTCATACCTCAATTTTAGAATGAGGGACACTTCAGGGAAATAGTTCTGAAAAACTGATAGACCCCCATTTGGTCTGATCCAAGCTTGGCCTGGAACATACTTGACAAATAATGCATGTCACTATTTGTCAAGTATGTTCCAGGCCAAGCTTGGATCAGACCAAAGTAACCTGGGGAGGAGCATGTCTCCTCCCCAGGTTACTTTCTGTAGGTTCATGTAATATGGGGGCAATTGGAAAGGCACTTGCCCCTGTCCTTGCCACCCCCAGACCCTATAATGCCGTGTCTCTATAAAGGAAGACTCCTTTTGGTCTAGGGGGCTGTCCATATCTGGTACTCATGGGCATCCCATTCCCTTTTAGGCCTCAATCACACCATTTGTGCAGAAAACTGATGGAAACTGATGGGCCGATTTCACTTGCAGAGACATCAGTTTTCATGTACGCTTTAATGTACACGTTGCAGATTCCTGCGCAGAAAAATCTGCACATGACACTAGTGTTGTGGTGTAAACAGGGCACATAGAGAACAATTGATTTTGTTGTGCCCTTGCAGAACACGTTCAGAAACACTAATGTCTCTGAACCATGGTGTGAACGAGCTCTGGGGAGGTGTAAATGGATATACCGGGCAGGATAGGGCATGCTAGACACACACCCTGTGTACTTCAGTTTTTTTTTTTTGTAGGGGTGTGCAGCACGCAGTTATTTTTAAAAAAATGTATTTTTAGTTTTGGACAGAGTTCAAAAAAATTAAACTCCATCAGGTTTTTAAATCTGTCCATGGCATTTTTTAAATGTTTTTTCTTTAGAATTACTAGATGTTTACCTTCATACCCTCCCTTGCGTTTTAAGGGTTGTTAAGATTTAGGCGATATAAAACACATTTAATGGACATGCCTTAAAGTAGAACTACACTGCATCTGAGCACCCCAAAGCAAAAATGATATTTAATTCATTTTTAATATTCAAAGCAAACTCACTCATCCATCCTCGTCTCTGTGCTTTATTTTTGCTGAGAAAGCACAAGGATTCATCTAGCATTTACTTCCTGGAATCCATCTGCCCTTAGTTCAGGCATGCAGGCAGGAGGGTATGCTTAGCTGAGAAAACCCCTCCTCCCCTCCTGAAGACTCTTGGGATATATGACATACACTCTCCAGCCACTTTATTAGGTACACCTTGCTAGTACCAGATTGGACCCCCTTTTGCCTTCAGAACTGCCTTAATTCTTCGAGGCATAGATTCAACAAGGTTGGAAGCATTCCTCAGAGATTTTGGTCCATATTAACATGATAGCATCACACGGTTGCTGAAGATTTGTCGACTGCACATCCATGATGCGAATCTCCTCTTCCACCACATCCCAAAGATGCTCTATTGGATTGAGATCTGGTGACTGTGGAGGCCATTGCAGTACAGTATGTTCATTATCATGTGCAAGAAACCAGTTTGAGATGATTTGCATTTTGTGACATGGTGCATTATCCTGCTGGAAGTAGCAATCAGAAGATGGGTACACTGCAGTCATAAAGGGATGGACATGGTCAGTAACAATACTCAGGTAGGCCATGACATTTAAACAATGCGCAATTGGTACTAAGAGGCCCAAAGTGTGACAAGAAAATATCCCCCACACCATTACACCACCACCCTGAACCGTTGATACAAGGCAGGATGAATCCTTGCTTTCATGATGTGTATGCCAAATTCTGACCCTACTATCTGAATGTCGCAGCTGCAATCGAGACTCATCAGACCACGCAATATTTTTCCAATCGTCTGTTGTCCAATTTTGGTGAGCCTGTGTGACTTGTAGCCTTCATATCCTGTTCTTAGCTGACAGGAGTGGCACCCAGTGTGGTCTTCTGCTGCTGTTGTCCATTTGCTTCAAGGTTCGACATGTTGTGTGTTCAGAGATGGTATTCTGAATATCTTGGTTGTAACAAGTGGTTATCTGAGTGACTGTTGCCTGTCATCTCTAACCAGTCCACCCATTCTCCTGACCTTAACAAGGCATTTTCATCCACACAACTGCCGCTCACTGGATATTTTCTCCCTTTCGGACCATTCTCTGTAAACCCTAGAGATGGTTGTGCATGAAAATCCCAGTAGATCAGCAGTTTTTGAAATGCTCAGACCAGCCCATCTGGCACCAATAACCATACTACGTTCCAGTGCCAAAGTCACTTAAATCCCCTTTCTTCCCCATTCTGATGCTCGGTTTGAACTTCAACAAGTCTTCTGCACTACATCTAGATGTCTAAATGCATTGAGTTGCTGCCATGTGATTGGTTGATTAGCAATTTGTGTTACCAAGCAATTGAACAGGTGTACCTAATAAAGTTGCCAGTGAGAGTAATTTGCCTAAACATAGAATCCAGGAAGTAACTGAGGAAATGTAAAAGAAAAAAAAAAAAAAAGAAGTTTTTATACAAGTAAATATAAAATACCTTCCTATTTACTAATGCGAGCAGCCCAAGGATTAAAGATACTCAATGTTGATTGAGAAAGTCAAGTTCCACTTTAAAGTATATGTAAACCCTCACTTTGTAAAACAACCAATTCAGTATAAAGTAGAAATGAAACAAAAGACATTTGTGTACACGTATAAAACACATTCTAAATACCCTTTTGTCCACTTTTTTTTTTATATAAGTGATCCCATACCCTCTGTTCTCAGCTGCATAAGAAGCTCAGAGAGCCAAGGGAGGAAAAGAAGCAGCAATACATTGATCTTCCCATGGCTGTGCAGGGGGGGTAAAATTTGTTAACATGTT